GTACGGAGGAAAAGAGAGAGGGTTTTATTTTCTGACGCTGCGTGAGTTCCCTGACGCACCGGGGACACATCTTTATGTATAAAAGACATCACAAAGTGCATTTTGCATGATAGGTCCCCTTTAATGTATATTTTCTTGTGTCTGACGTGTTGTGAGAATTAATGTGCATATATATTTACTTGTGTGCACGAGCGTGACACGCATTGCAGACCGCAAGTTAACCGCAAGTTTACCTTGACTTTTTAATGCAATTTTTGCCGAGGTTCGGAGCTCACAAAACATAAAATAAATAAATAAATTTAAAATAAAAGATACAAACACAAAACAAACCAGAATAAACGTAACAATTTCAAAATAAAAATAAAAAAGATTAAGAAGGTCCACAGCAACGACAACATGAAACACCCTTTAATTTACTGCAACGACATGTTGGGAAACCCCCTCAAGGGGGCCCCATGCGAGCCGAAACTTCGTTGCTCCGCTCCGGGGGGGACTTTACTGGCATTGATCCGGACCATTGACCTTGTATAAAATTCACAAGTGGACCTTTAACAAAAAAGTTTGAGTACCCCTGCCGTAAGCCCATCCCCAGGTGTTTCCACTTGTGCTGATTAGTCCTCTAAGGCTGTGCAAAAATGGGCTCTGACTTTATTCAGTACACTTAACACTTATTAACTTGAGATGGAGGATGAAGTTGCCAGCACCAACTGACTTGAAGTCGAATTAGCCAAGGAAATTGCAAACAGCTACATTGTACAAGATAGGCCAAGGGGCGGGACGTCTCTAAGCCATTGACCAATCACAACAGAGTCAGGTAGCTAACCAATCAGAGCAGAGCGTGAAAAGAGGTGCTACAGCACAGGCAGTATGAGACAAATAAAGCACTTTTTGAACATTAAAGCACGTAAACATGGCACAGTCAGCACAATATAGAAAACAACATTATAATTGTAAGCTTACAACAGAACACTCTGCACACATTTTAATTAAAGAAGTGGTCTTTATTACAGCAAAGAAGCCAAACATTACAGACAAGAATAACTATGAATGGTGAATATCAATTACTCAGAATGGCCTCTCATTGGGACACCTGCTTCGCTCTTCAGGGCCGTTACTTCAGATTGATTAAGGAAGAATTACAGGCATCTTAACAGGATTTGCTCCTAAGTTTTTCCCTTAAGTGTGTAGTCAAGAAGGTTGATTTACATTTTTGTATTTCTATTGACACACTTGTATTTATTTTTCTGTCTCTGCATGCTGTAGAGAGGGCCATCCGTTTTGTAATCTCACTGTATTTACGTTGTGTTTTGGCCTCTCTCTCTTCTTTGGGTCAGAACAGAAATCTGCAGGGAAAAAACCCCTCAAAAAGTTGATGTTCCACTCGCAGAATAAAGTTCTGTATTCAGTGGACGCTATAATGCTTTCTAAATAATATCTGTCAAAATTTGAAGTAGAGTCCTACAGGTGTACAATCTCTGACTTTGTATCTACAACAGAACCAATGCTCTGATCCATCACCTCTACTGTCCATCCAACAATAGAGCCTTTTAGAGTCCTCATGATAGCCTATTTACAATAACATCCGCAACAGTAGACCTGGGCTACTCTTGCTCCACCCAAGTGGGACCTCTGACGTTTTATGTACAATAAAGTTGTTTTGGGCACAACAGAAACACATCTGGTACTCAGTAAAGACTCAATAATTCATGAAGCATTCTGATGAGTAAAACACTGAATCATGATCCAAAAGGTTTTCAAAACATTGATCGTCCATGAGAATGCATTCAACAGAGCCTGGTTGCAATCTAAGATGTTGTTAAAATGCTCATTTCAACAAGGAAATTCAAATGATTAGGCACAATAAATGTTTTTGTTCCACAGTCCTGCATGTTTCTCTCACTGAGCCGTGTGCGTTCAGGGATAATGGTGAGCAGGATATGAGGATGAAGATAAACAGCTCATCCCCGCTAAGGAGGGATACGAGCTATTATCCAAAATACTCTGATGTTCTACTGAGCACAAACAGAGCAATGGGCTTTCACACAAATAAACCACAGTAACATCACAGAGTTTCATTTAGTGAAAACAAGACAATACTACTGAATTCCACCTAAATACTGAAAAACTACGTCTATTGCTTTAATATACAGCGTTGATCAGGGGTTCTTAAATTTTCTTCATGGACTCAAATTGAGCAGATCTTTTTTTACCTCAGGAATCAGGACCCATTATGGGCTCGTTTAAATCCTACTTTAACCCTCCGAGGGAAACCCACTCATTTTGCGTCCTGAGCCACAGTTTAAGAAGCGCTGGTGGTAGAGTAAACATAGGATGAAGAATGATTGTTCTTACAAGCAATGCAAGTAAACAATAAATACAAACAATGTGCTTTATCCATATAGACATATTTACACAAAGTCTTTGGCTTTATGAATAAACATCAGCTACAAAATAATAATAAAAAGTGTTGGCCGCCAGTGCACGAAACAAATGAAGCCTGGGGTCAGTTCACTTCCAATTCCATTCAAACCAGAAATGGAAACTGTAATGTGTTTAAGCCGCTTTTCTGGTTTCGTTTTTTGAAATGAAACGTCCCATTTGTGACTTTGCTGAATTGAAAGTGCATTGGGCCCAGCCCTGAAACAAACATGAGTACGCTAATGTTATATGGTTGAAAAAAATCGTACAATTTAGGGTAAAAAAAA